GTACTTGTTTGGCTCCAGCAGAGGTGGCACCCGGAGCAGCTTGTGAGGTTGGGGTTGGGGGGGCGGGGCTGGCTGGTTTGGGGAGAGGTGAGAGACTGGGGTGCGAAAAATAGTCTGGTGCAGGACGCAGGAGAGGAGGGCATGAAAAGCGCAGCCCTAGGGCTGGGGGTTGGCAGCTGGGTTTTCCCAGCTCCTGGGTTGTGCAGGGGAAGCGTACAGAAGTTCCATGCACTGGTTAGACCTAAATTGAGTAAGTTTGATACTACATAGATCCAGGTTTATCTTAAACCAGGTTTCACAATTTTTAGACCAGTTTGTATGCATGGAACTTCTGTACAGTTACAGGTTTTAATTGATATCCGGTCATAGACTGGGTCTGTAAGTGTAAGGTCGGCACCAGGAAGAGCTAAGTTTAAACTGGGTGGCCATTTTGTACCAGATTAACCTCCCCAAATGTCTATACTTAGCTGTGATGTCTCTCCTGAAAGGGAACCTAGAGGTTCATACATATATACTGTGCTGTTTCACTGAAGGCTTCCAAAGGGCTTTACAGCACTATGGTATACATATATGTATAGCAATTATTCTAACCAAAAGAGAGTAGCTGTGGCACAAGTGTTTAGGACTAAAAGAAGATATAAACACAGACATATGAAATGGCTTAGGGAATTTTAGGCAGACTATAATTGATCTCATAACGAGTACATAGGTTGTAACTACTGATTTGGTCTGTGCACTTGATAAGATGCACAGGGCACTGTATTGTGGGAAAGACATTTAGAGAAGAAAGCAATGTAGTAGAAAGAGTAAAAGCAGTATATGGGGAGGATGGAGAGGACAAAGGATCTGTAACATAGTCGGTACCCTTTCTCAGATCTCTGGGAAAGAAGCAGTGCAAGTTTAGGAAGATGTTGATGGGCAGCCAGGCTTCTTTTTTTTTTTAAGGTTCTGCATTTTCCACTGCAAACAGTGAATTTCAACATTGTCCATGTTCTGGTAGTGCTGAAGTGAAATTGTCACCGTGATGCTCAGGAAAATATGTGAGAAAAGGGGATTTTTGTGGGTGATATCTTTTATTGGAACCTTTACTGATTCTTTCCCAGAAACTTGAGGAAGTGTATTGTGGTACCCAAAACCTTGTCTATCCCAACCATGCAGTTGGTCCAATAAAAGATTTCACCTGCAAAAAACCTTGCTTCCCACATATTTCCTGGACCATCATGGCTACAGCATCACTTGAACACTACCAAACATTAAAAGAATATCTAAGTTCATATATTTGGGGGGAGGGGTTCTGCCCACTAGCAACTTCAAAGGGATATTGGGGGAGAGTCACTGGGGTATCTCCAGGCCAAGGCAGACTAAGAAAAAGCTGCCCATCATGTTTTGAACATATTAAGCCACCTGAGATAGTAGAGTTTATGATATGGCACAGAGACCTCTTTGAAATATGATCCATAGAAATTGCTTCTTTCTTTTTTTTCAGGTGGAGCCAGCAGAGGTGCAAGAATATCCTTCCTGCTGAGTCCAGACAATGACAAATAAAACTGTTGAAACCACCATTTCCTGCCTAGGCTGCTGCCTCCTGAATGGCTGCATTTCTGACAAAAATGTAAGTTCCATTAACTTTTGATTTTTTAAAGAGAAATTACATTTCTCAGCTCTTTAATTGCCAACTGGAACCCAGTGCCTAATGTTACAACATGGAGTGGCAGGTGCAGACACCGTGATACCCCTTGTTAGCTGGCACTGAGTGACAAAGATTATCTGGACTCTTCCACTCCAGTGCTTCTACTGCTTTTAAAATGCCTCCAAGCATTCTCATCAAAAACCCACAGAGACTAAGAAACTAAATAATGAAGCTGCTTCCTGTCCCTGATGCCTATCCATACAGAAAATGTCCTAACCCCTGCAAACGTATCTTGCAACAACGGACTCTGCTGAGCTGCTCCATCTTCGAACTGGTGCATTTTGGTAGAGCTGTAGCCATGAGAATCTTTTTACATGATTTTAAAAACTACCAAATATCAAGCCCAATTCTGCTCCTATGCCACTTATGCCACCTCCCTTAAGAATTATTTGAGACAGGTATCTTCTGGCCTATGAACAATGGAGGATTTTGTGCAACTAGAAAAATCAAGGAAAACTTCAGTTTCCCTCTTTTTGTTTTAAGCATACAAATTTCTTGTACTTTTCCTTGCAGAAAGACTCAAAACCATAAAGTGATACCAAGAAGTAACTGGACTCCATTATGCTGGAAGAAATCCACCTGAATTTTGTCAAAATAGACTCTGGAAGAGGAATAAGGATCATAATTCCTTATGTTTGAAGGAAGCCAGGAAGCACCAAAACACTATTTTGCAGGCCCACCCCAAAATGCTGAAGCTGGTCTAATGAGAGCACCATTTAGTCCATCTCTTTTAAACCTCCTTGTCATAAACAGGAACTTATCAAATACTGAGAAACAAAAAATAAATTCCTCTTACAGAAAAGCTGCCAGGTCTTTCACTTTGCCACTGCACAGCCTCCCAGATGGAGTAAGATACAGCTAAGAAAATCAGTTCCTAGAGCTGGTCTGGTATCAGCGATACAAGTAAGAAAAATGAGCAGGACTGTTTAAATTTCAGCTCCAGTGAAAGTCCATGCAAGACAGGCTGGTGGCAAATTACTATTTGCCAAATGAAAAATCCAGACTGGAAAAGCAGCAGTCTGTTCAAGCTTCTATGTAGGTATTACAGTGACAGAATAGGGAAGTAATGGTAGATATTGTCTGGTTTTCTTTTAAATAATTGTCAGCGTCCCTTTAACTCAAGAATTAGAAACACAATAGACATTTTATGCTACATCTAATCCATAACTCAGCTAGTGCAGGATTGTTCTCTGAAGGGTATTCTACAATACACTACCCAATCTAGCTTCAAATCTGTTAAGCAATGGGGCTTTCCTTAGGAAGTTAAGCCTCAGCCCAAAAGATATAACTGTATCCTCCTTCCATTTTGCTGTGCACTCATATTAGGTCTCTCTCTGCACATTACATGTGTTACACAATTACTGTATTTTAGTGTATAGGTCGATGCGGTATATAAATTGACCCCATTTTTCTGATCCAAAAAGTTAGGTCAACTTATACACCAGATCTATGAAATTCCTAGGTCGATTTATTTGTCCCCCTGTGCACCCTCACTGCAGGTCAGGCACCTGGGGGCTGGATATGTGCCACAGCACAGCTCACAGGGGACAGGGATGGGCTCAGCACTTGACTGGCGTGGCCCGGGCAGCACGGCTAGCAAGGGATGAGGGCATGCCAACAAGTGCCAAGCCCAGCACCGCTTACAGGGGATAGGGACGGAGACGGGGCTGGGCTCAGGGCTCAGCTGACACAGCTCCATCCCCTGTGAGTGGCTCTGCTTGGGCTGCGTCAGCCGAGCACTGAGCCCAGCCTCATCCCCTGCAAGCGGTGCTGCCAAGCACTGAGCCCAGATCTGTCCTCTGCAAGTGGCACCAGGCTCGGCACTCAGCTGGCATGGCTGGGCTCGGTGCTCAGCAGCGCTACTTGCAGCAGATGCTCGACTGGTGCAGCCCAGGTGGTGCCACTCACAGGGGATGGGGCTGCACCAACTGAGCTTGGCCCCATCCTCATCCCCATCCCCTGAGAGCAGTTCTAGGCTCAGCG